TTTTTTTTTTTTTTTTAAAGGGACCAAGCATTCTCGATCATACTAATCCAAACACAAGACGGAATCGTAATAAAATCAAAGAACGTTGTTTAAACCTGCATGCAAAAGTATGGCCTTGAAAGAGCCATTTGCATAGGAACAGAGCAATCATACGCTCTCCACCAACTAGATTGCTGAAAGATCTTGTATATATTGGGGGTAACCTCCTGCATGACAAAGTAACTTTGAAATGAAAATTTCACAACAAGAAGTGAGTCTCATAATAGTTATAGGACATTTCTCATTATTTATGGGGCTAGCTAACGAATGATTAGCACCTGAAAGCATATGACTTCAGGGGAATGCAGTTCAATAAGGTCACCAAGAGCTTTCATTCTCTTCTGCAGTTCCAAGTCTTCTCTGAACCAAACATTGTAGCTCAAAATCTTCAACTTGTTTAGACCCTTAGCAGAACCAGACTCCTCTATACACAAGTCAGAAATCACACAACTCAAAAGTCAAAACAAATATGAAACCTTTATTCGAATAAAGCTAAAACGCTAACCAACGATCCAAAAGACTATGAACCAAGAAAATATCAGACAGAGACGAGACTACGAGCCAGAAAAGTTTCAACCTTTTTACCATCAATAGAAAGAAACAAAAAAAACCCAAGAAAACCCAAAAAGCCAAAAGCAAGAATATACCAAGTTCCAACCCACCGGACACAGTCGCCGGCTTATCGGAGGCTTTGAGCTTAACAGCCTGAAACCCACCGCCCAAATCCGGAGAACTCGGTTTGGCCGGCTCGGGTCGAACCGGGTCCGAAATCCTCGTCCTCTTGCAAGGCTGCAAGGGCAAGAAAACAGAGCCAATGGAAGAATCGAGGTGGGCGTCGAGATCAGTGTCGTTCAAATCCTCGAAGCTGGAGAGGGAGGAGACCGGGGCTCTGGTGTCGCAGATGTCGCAGTTGGTCATGTTGTAGGGATTCAGGAAAGTGCAGGCTTTGCACGACCATTTTGGGATCGAAGAAGAAGAAGATGAAGAAGTAGAAGATGGAGATGATGGCGATGAACAGATCTGGCAAACGGATTTCTGAGATGGGGGGTTGAGGAAAGTGCAAGCTTTGCAGGCCCAAGACATTGGTACGGACAGTAGAGAAATGCGAGTCCTCCTAGGGTTTACAATGTGAAAATGGTATTGAAGAAGGAAGGTTTTGGTAAAGGAAATGGGCATTTGAATAAATTCATTACCAATATGTATTTTGAGTCATATGGTCACAAAATTTGAATCTCTCTTTGCTAACGGCTTTCGGTATCTACTACACGATTAGAGTGCAAAGTACGGCTCCGTTTATTTCACTTATTTTAATAATTTTATT